CAAATTACAAATAGTAAACTACAAGCAAGGAATTGTGACCTGGTAACTACTACAAAAAAATAGTATAAGCACATGGTGTTTTTTAACGTATATCTGTATTACTTTCAGTATTCAATAGTGAAGTTTGCCTGGCTTACATTTCTCACCGAGAGAAGGAGAGAGTTCAGAAGTGAAAGCACAGAGCAATTTATTGCATAAATATAGCTCTCTCTTTTAATGAATTATCTTCAAACCTTTATAAAAGATCTCATTGCATTCCATATCAAAAGACTTGGAAGCAGTAGAATCACAGCTGTTTATTTTAATGGAATTTATATTAGACTTGCTTGAAATGATTTGATAGATTATTTTTGTTGTACTCTGCTTTTTCAAAGTTGATTTTAGGGGGACCTAAACCAGGCATTTGAGTATTTCAGTGTGAACATGAATATCTTCATGTTGAGGTGTACCATGCCAGGGAAGAACTGTACGGAATTCGCACTGCAGCTGCACAGCATCTCTGGAGACCATTGGCAGCAGGAAAGTGTCTCCTCGGCAGCTACAGAGTTGGCAGTCACTTATTGCAAGTAGCCTTTCCAGCATCAGGCATGTTCAGGCGTTTCTGTCTTTGGCTGYTCATAGGAAAGCCGGGGTCATCTGTGGGCAGCTCTAATCGTTGCTAGCAGTGAAGGGGGCCATTCTGCTGGTCTCCTGCATGTGGCTCGTGCTCCTTGCTGGCGTGATYTGGTTCTGCGGTGTTTTGGTTAGCATCGTAGCCTGTCTTTCACAGCCCGCCCTTTGGAGATCTTGATAAAATTCTGGAGATATCAGTGGTGCACTTTGGATGGTTAATATGTTCAGAGGATGGTGCTAGGACTTAGTTTGCTTATAGGTTCTTCTGTCTACACCAATCAGTCCCTGCTGATACTGTTACTAAGAAAAATAGACAGCTATAGATGCATCAAGCAGTATGGAAGGGTCAAAACCTTGCTAATCACTTGAGATAGAGCTTTACTAGTACCAGAGCRCTGTCTTGGTGTATCCAGGATATCTTTATTTTAGCAGGTATTGCAGTATGGTAGGAATGAGTCCGTAGAGTAAAACACTCATGGCAAAACACACTGCTGCTGTTTTGAGAGTTTCATTGTGGTACCCTGGAATGAATCCTCATCAACATTTGGAGCACCTGGGAGCCCATCTCCCAGTTTAGTTTCATCCCAAAATAATCTAATCTATGCACTTCAAAACTACTGTACTATGCAAACCAAAGACCAGCGAGTAGGCAAAAGCAGGAGGTTTCACTCGAAATGAAGGGCCTGGTGCAAGCCCAAACACTAATCTAGGCGCACTCCTTGTTCCTCAGGGTGAGTGTTTAGTGAAGAACCGAGGCTGGAATACTAATATGTAAACTTGTAGCAGTAATTATTATTACTCTCTTCTAATTGTGTTTCTCAAGCCTCATTCTGTAACCACCAGAATCTTGGAAATTTGGTTTGGAAAAGCCTGTGCATGGTTGTCAAATCTCATTTTTTTGCCCCCCAGAACCAGAGCAAGAATGTTGTTGCATCATTGTTACTATGTTCCATAAAGGAAGTTCAGTGAAATACTATACACATACCAAAATGTGTCTAGTCAACCAACAATAAAAATATTTTCTTGCTTAAAATTAACTTCATTTAAATTAAAAAGAAAATAAACTGCCTTTCATTTTCTCCATTATTCAGTACAGAATCACAGAATGGTTGAGGTAGGAAGGGACCTCTAGAGACCATCTAGTCCAACCCCCCTGCTCCAGCAGGGACACCCGGAGCACGGGGCACAGGGCGGCATCCAGGCGGGTTTGGAAGATCTGCAGACCTCCAGATCCAGTGCAGTCAGACATTTCATATCCTTCAGATGTAAATTCTGCAGCTAGGAAGAATATGTCAAAATAATTCCCATGCAGGTTGTATTGTGAAAAGTTCTCATGCCAAAATTAATAATGAAGTTCATTGAAGTCAGTGGAACTCCATTGGCTTTTTGAAGATAGTGTGAAGAAGGTAGGACTTCAAGATACTGTACAAATGAAAGAATAACACAAGTGACCAAGCTCCTGTCATCTTGGAAAGCTAAGCACTTTCCTTTCATCTTGGTGAATGTGTATAATACTTACAATGATTAATAGGAGGTACATAAACTCTCTGAGGTGAAAAATACACCCCTTTATTCTTAAATAATATATGACCTGTAAAGCAAAGAGTGTAAATCTTAAACACCAATTTCCTCTGAGTGTTTCATAGATGAGAAGTAATAGCTTTTGAAAAGATCTCTCCATAAATGCTTTGGAACATCACCATTGATTTTTTTTTTTCCTAGACAATTTATTAATTGATAAAATGTGCCACTGTATGATGCTTTTGAAATGTTACTTCATCTTGGATTCATCCTAAAACCAGTGTGTGAGGTTTGGCCATACTGACCCCTGTTTGATACATATTTGCTTGCTTTGCAAACCAACGGTCAGTGTTTTCAGTAAATTYCCAGTTAATAGGACTTACAGAATCGTAAGCGTTGATGTTGAATCCCTTTTTCCAAGATTCATTCGTCCTATTTATAAAAGGTATTATGCGCCACTAAATGGTGCACTAAGACACACTTTTCCCATGTGCTGGCGCATTTGGAAGGGACAAATTTCCCTTGGTCCATGTGGCTCTGTGGGGAGCAATTGAAACCATAATTCTGCTCCATGCCCTTTGACAGAAATAGGAGAACACTTAAATTTAGGTGGGACTTCTATGAAAACAGTTGCCTGCAATAGCAGAGGCTGGACTCCAGCTGAAGAAGAGTGGAAAAGATGGATGTTCCTCGTGTTTTTATGACAGTGCTGCCAAGGAGCAGGATGCTGGCTCTTCACATCAGCCCTCCCAGCCTTCTTAAGCCAACGGTGACGAGAACGTGGGTTTTGTCCTGCTGCCTCCGAGGAGCAGGTGGCCTTGCTCTCTGATGAACCCATGGGCAGTTTCTGCCAGGGAGACACTTGTTGGCTTTTGTCCCAGGACAAAAGTCTTTAGCTACAAGATTCTAATCTGTTTTCATCAGCATTTCTCTTCTGATTCTTTGAGTTTACTAGCATAGCTTTAACAGGGCAACGATGTCTTCTTCCATGCCTTAGCATCACAGAAATGGTGTTTGCCAGGGACCTTAGCAGGTGGTTTTGTGCAGTCTCTTACTTGGAGCAGGACTATTGCAAACTTTAGATCAGGTCGGCCCTGGCTGTCTGTCAGGGTCTTGCTTCTCCCTTAGATCCACAGTATCCAGCAGGGACTCGCTTCCTTGATACAGAATTATACACTGAAAGTAGCGGCTGTAGACTTAAATATAAACTTGAATACCAACTTCCTGACAAGGGGCTCTCACAAGGGCCCCTACTGCCCCTCTTTCCTTCAAAGATGCATCCTGACTTTTTCTTTTTTTTTGTTATCTCTAATCCCTGTCTTTACCTTCCTACAGGGAGTAATTACAGCTTGGGCTTTAAAATACTCTGGCTTTTAAACATTAAAAGCCTATTTGAATGTTTATCTTCATCTTCTCTGCCTATTATAGATCACCAAGTACTTCAAAGATAACGTTTAAATAAAAGGTTTAAATTCTGATGCATCTGAGTAACAGTAACTTACGCAGGAAAAGTTTTCTTAAGCTATCAGTTCCATCTCTCTGACACTGCAGAATTTATTGTATTTTATGGCATAATTGAGATGTATTGTCTTAAACGTTATCATTTCCACAGACTTAAATGAAGTTTACACAATGCATCTGATTTAAAGTTGTTTATTTTAAGACACTAAAAGTAAAGCTTCTTGGATCATGATGGCACAGAAAAGATTTTTTTAMCATCCCAGGTCATTATAAAGTCTAGGACAAATATAGCACTCATCAAATGCCCTTTGTCTGAGAAACAGAGTGATAAGATTGCATCATGTTATGTGTCTGAAGTTGAATCTTTCAGCAGCTAGGACACAGGACCAGTATTCAGGAAGTCATTTTGCAAACATAGAATTAAGCACTTTACTGTTCTGTGCCTCATATTTTCCATCTCAAAGTGAGGACAGTGATATTTCCTTCTTTTGAAAAGAGCTTTCTGATTTAAATATCTATTATYATCATTATTAATGTTGACAGTGCAGTGTTTGCAGGATCAGGACTGGAAGGGTCTAAGATACCTTAGCTCTTAAAAGCAAGTAAGCAGTAAGAGACTTCTCAGGAAAATATCTGGGAAAAATATTTTAATAGTATGTTAGTACGTGTTGTACAGTGAGTCCTGATTTGTTTCACGAAAATTGATGTTAGAGCTATTGATGATAAATACTGTCTTTGGTATCATTCAGCATATTTTTTGTGCAAAATTAGTCTTTCTTTCTATCTTGGCTACAGTCGAAAAGCTTGTTGTTAAATATGTTTTGTTAATAAGAAGCCTGACTCAGGGCAGACTCTATGGTAAATGACTGATTATTAGGGATATCAGACTGCCCTGTTTCTGTGTGCCCATTCCACTGCCAGGACAGCTGGCATTAGAGCTTGTTGGGAAAAATGGGTTTGTTTTCTTCAGAAGAAATAGTTTCTGTTTTTACATTGTATGGGTTTAGTTTTCTATATGATTTTTAGGTTGCTATTAAGCATTTCTCAACACAGGGAAAAAGTCTCATGAACATATGCTGAAAAAAAAAGCTTTTTAGTGGTAGAAGTTTAAAAACTACAAAAATGCATGCCAGATATGCACTGTGAAGCGACTGTTCAAACCTCTGTATGTGGGGTATTTAAGAGAAATGAAATATACATGAGGCCCAACTTGCTGCTGTAGAGTGCATGAAAATATCTGATCTGGATTYTGGAAAAAAAAAAAAAAAAAAAAAAAAAAAAAAAAAAAAAAMCCTTGACCAACTGGAACCTTTTGCTTTCTGGTAATGGAGCAGTTTATCTGTTATATACTATGTAATTTTTTGTCCTCCTTCCTTCAGTTACCTTTGATTTTCTTGTTTATACAGTTGATGGATTGGATAAGGCTTCGATTGCCAACTCRGATGGGCCGGCCCCAGGATCCCAAACTCCTCCCTTCAAGAGAAAGGGCAAACTCTCGACCATTGGCAAAATCTTTAAGCCTTGGAAATGGCGGAAGAAGAAGACAAGTGACAAATTCAGAGAAACATCAGCAGGTATGTGCATGGCCCTTTGCTAGCAAATGGTAAGAAATAATGGAAGGACTTTGCAGAGTAATGCTTGAAAAAGTCTTTCATCTCATTAGATCGACAGGAAGTTGTAGGCACAGTATTTGGTGTAATGTAGAAACTGTTTGATCCTTGGCAACGAAGAACACCTCATCTTCTGTTCTGAAGATTCTCCTAATGGTCACTGACTTGAAACAGACCTTGCCTTCATGGGRACAGAAGTTTAGTGTGTTCAGAGAGGAGAAGAGGATGTGGCCGTGCTCAGTGGAGTCTGGTCGGAAGAACAAGGATCAACGTTGCAGCTCTGGGTTTCTTGTGGGCGGATGGCTCCTGTGCTCCTCTGTTGACAAGATTTGAAGAACAGTCTAAAATAAAATGTTGATTGAACAACATTTCATGTGAAAAAAGAGCAAGATTGAGGGCTGGGATTCAGTTATCAAACACAGATACTTTGTGCTATCTGAGATGCTCCAGGGTATCCTGCCYGGTTCCAGAAGGTGCCTCGCTGTATTTGCCGTCCCTCTACAGGTGTCTTGGATACCCTTGGGCCTCTGTAGTGGCTCTAGACACTTATGTTTAAGAAACTGAATTCCAGTGCGTGTGTGTATATATAAATATATCCCTAGGGAGAGAGAGACTGCACATATATATCGATACACTATTTATAATGTGTATCACATATATTGTCTCTCTCTTTCTCTGTATGTATTTGTATATACCCAACCCCATATATTTGTGTGTGTTTATGTGTGTGTCATGGCTCTGGCCAAGTTTTCTCTAGAAAAATCCCAAATTCCTGTGTTGGGATTCATACATTTCATGCTGTATTCTTCCAAGCTGGAGTCTAATCCAAGAAGTGTCTATGGGCTCTCCAGGTTCGTTGCTGCAGGGCAGGTGCTCTGAGGGATCTGTTGTGATGCAAGGCTGCAAGGGTGATACTCATGTCCTTAAGTGCTCTCAGTTGGCTCTCCTGAGTTATCAAAAGTATGCTGCTTTATATTTTAACCCTAACAACCCCTAAAATTACAACAACCCCTAACAATTACAGCAAGAAGAGCTCTAGTTTTGCAGTATTAGTTCTAAAACACGCTTTGTCTGCACAGAAAGCAAAAGGAAAAGAACTTCAGAACTAATGCCATCAACATTCAAGAAACCTACTGAAGATATGGACAGTCTTTCTGAGACCCAAATCCTTCCCTTGTCCCGCTCAATCTCTCTCTCTCTTTCTCTCTCTTTTTTTTTTTTTTCTCTCCTTCTGGGTGACCTGCAAAAAACCTTCCACTATTTCTTTTATATTTCAATCAAAAGATTTGATTGACCCGAGTAACTACAGGCCGGTGAGCCTCACCTCCATCCCCGGGAAAGTGATGGAGCAGCTCATCCTGDCWGMTSTCTCCAGACACATGGAGGAGAAGAAGGTGCTCAGGAGTAGCCAGCATGGATTCACCAAGGGGAAATCCTGCTTGACTAACCTGATCACCTTCTACGAAGGAATATCTAGCTGGATAGATGAGGGCAGAGCGGT